TCTATAAACAAGGCTAAGGAACAGGGGGGTGAACAGCTGACACGCTTTACTAAGCTCAGGGCATTGTTTCGCAAGCTCGAGTTCTTGCTACCCAGCACGGGAACTAGGCTTCTTCGCTCGAATACAAAATGTAATGTCATTACACACTGCACCTGCCCGATGATTGCTAAACACATGCCGCATGACCTATGGAGATTTAGCACGCTATGTGACGTACGACGCTCGTATACACATGGGGTGGAAACGAAAAAAAACCCATCACACTGAGTTCACAGATACATTTACGAGACTATAACCTACACGCTGCGTTTTACTGTGCCCATGGCGTGGCTGGCATAGTTCTCTGCAATAAAGTTCAAGGATATTTGAGCCCCTTCAAAGGTTTGTACGGTGAAGCCCATTGCAGGAAATTGATATATTGCCTTACGTGAGCATTTTCCATTTTGGGTTAATAAAACAAGTACTTCTTTGTTCTGTGGATGGACTTGTACCTGCCATATGAATGTAGAATGTTCACAATTTCAGTCGAGCGACGCGTCCTGCCCAAGCCCACTTCAGTTTTTTTTCTTAACAGTTTTAACTTCATCATTAAACTAAACAAATGTTTTTATTTATATAATTAACCTGCAAATATTGTCTAACTCGTCTGTATATACTTCACCCCGATGGCAGTGATGAGCGCTGCCCCAATTAGCATTTGAGAAGGGATACCCTTTAATTTTAAAATAAACAAATAAATAAATAAATAATAACGGTACGTTTCATTTACATTTATTTACTTATTTTAACAATTTGTATACGCTGAGAAAACCATCCACAGGAAAACATCAGGTGGTGCAGAGACCAATTGTTTACTGAAGAATACATGCTACTTTACAAACTGCCTTAAATATTAAGTTGGTTAACTCCATGTATATTTTTTCCTTTCTTGTTTAAATAAATATTTATTTTAATATTCACTCACTCCTTTAGGAGTAGACACTTTCACACATGCACACACGCAACAAATAGCTTAGAAGCTTAAAAATATATTAATAGTGGTATTGATAATGAAACAGTCTTGCCAAAATGCAATTGTAGCCATACAGCTCATAGGACATGGCACTGTTAGTGAGTACACACTCGGGCCGACATGAAACATAACAGAGCAGTGTGGTGAACTACGCAGTGAGGGCGTTTACACATCACACACCAGGTAAGCATTCATGGCTAAGCCAACCTAGGGGAGGCCCAACACGGATTCAGATACCACATTTCACTGATGACGAACCCTGTCTGGGAAGTAGATCCATGTCACTGGAATTGTAGTGCCGTTCACACACAAAAAAAACCCCTGAGCCAAGTGGGCTTTCTTCGAGTTCTTTAAAGTGATAGTTTTTCTGCAGACACGAGACACCTAAGCGGCAAAGGGAAATCCCTCACCAGCGGAGGGAAAAAAAAACTCCCATAATCGTGGGTTGAGAAACGCAAGAGCTCTCAGCGAGACGATCGCTTCCCAACCCGCTCTTGCATTTCGGAATTTCAAAGACGACCATCGTCCACCTCGCTTGAAACCCACGCGGCCCCTTTATCAAAAGTACTACGAATAATAACGACTCATGAAAGGCCATGTCATCGAGCCTTACTGCAGGTCAAAGCACACGGCCGTGTTTTGAATGTGCAAAACCATAGCAATGACAGCACTGCCAGTTATAATCCCTTACTTTTCATCAACGTTTCCCAGATGGCGCCCTTATTTTTTTTTCTTCTTCTTCATATATGGAATACACATACACGCCGGTACATCCACTGCATGCATAACAAGGGGGTCTGTTGCTGGCAGCGGCGTTAAATAAGCGTGGAGAATTGGCCTTTAGTGTTGGGCTGGGACCAGTAAGCCCCCCGATTGATGCAGATTACGAAAAAAAAATAGAATAAGTTCTCTGGCTGCATCCGTCAGTTGCAGGGTTCTATGTTACACCCACACAGTCGCTCTAAGCGTACCCCGTAGGATTATTAAAAAAAAGCTCTACTGTAATCTGCATTGTAATGTACTTGAGGTGTCCATCTGTGAGTCAGGCTGTCGGCCACAGTAAACGAGTGGCTTTCGCCATACAGCATTGAGTAAGGCCTCATTTTGATGGGAGAGATCCGGGGTCTTGTGGTGTTCATGATGAGCTAACCGTGTGATGAAGTTTTTGTTTATTCTTGGGAACAGATCACATGTGATACGTGTGATCTGAAGCTGACCTGGATCTCGCCTAGGGTGACTTGGCCTCAAATTATAATCTCGTGCGGTGTACGAGCTTGACCACTCGGGAGATTGAGTTGTGGATATCTTTTTTTTAGGTAAGGTTATTTAAAACAGAAACGGATATGCAAAGGAAAAAATGGCAGGCGTCAATTAATTGACGGCCACAATACATCTGGACCACCTTGTACAATACTAACCCTGCGAATCTTGTTAGAATAACTGTTGTCTTTGCTCTAGGGCCCGAATTTGAAGCGCATCGTCCACATCAAAGGTTCCGAACAAACTGATAATCTCCCACTTGTAACCGATCCCCTGTGTAACTGGGGATGTGACATTCCTGCTCGGGCAGTCCACAGTCGAGGTGCGAGCTCAGTTGAGCATGGCCTGGTTCCAGGGTCTCATGGTATTGATAATGAGTTAACCTCATCCGGGGCGCCACGGTGGCACAATGTTAACTACCTCGTCTGGTATACAGGAGGTCGTGGGTTCGACCCTAACCCTGACGCCTGTATATTTGGAGTTTTCATGTCTCTCTCCCCATGTTCGCGTGGATTTTTCTCTGGGTCCTCCGGTTTTTCCCTCCACATTTTAGAAACATCCATTTAGAGGATTCGGCTGCTACAAATGTCCACGTTATAAGCCACTTCATTGAGCTATCATTCGTTGACAGGTCGATTCTGAAAAAGAGCTGTGTTGCTCAGCGGGCCTTATCTGGTTAAAAAAAAATCGTTAACCTTCTGATCAAGTTTTTATTCTCAGTCACAGATCAAATGTGATACATGATATCTGAGGCTGACCTGGGTCTCCTCTAGGGTGACTTGGCCTCAAATTATAATCCAGTTCAGGTATCGGCAAATGCATCACACGCTGTTTAACTGCGCTTATACAGCCATGAGTGCTTGATGATGAAAGGACACGTGTAAAATGGAGCTGTGATTATTTGGAGACCAGGGATAAAATCAGATGACACTGTGCAACTATTTAGGCCGTGTCTGTGTGGGTATCGTAAACAAACATGTTATCACCAAATAGAACTGTCACCTGTTGTCAAACACACACTCTACATTGCCAGCGCAACACTATCTGCTCACACTTGTATTGCGTTGTCAGGTTGGGTGCATTGGGCTGTGGCATCGGCACACACACAGGGTGCCATGGGATCTTGAACATCCACATTTCAGCAGATGGCAAATTTTGGTACACTGGTAACAATACAGATTCAGCGCAATTATGTAGGCTGTCGTGATGTAGGTTGAAAACCCACGTTTGATTATTACTTTTCCATGCAAGGCATCCACAAACCAATTAGACATAGCACAGAGACTAAATTTGAAATAATTGCATCTGATCTCATTGTATGTGTGTATGACAACCATGAGAATCAATTTGAATTGGTGAATAAGCAAACGAACACATGTTGGTTATGAAGCATGTAATAATTCAACCTCCCCTTATGCCTGAACAGCTGAGAGCCTGAACCAGTCTCTCACCTGGATGAGGCTTTTACCTGTCCACGCTCACATCCAATCCATCTCTCACATGTTCAGTCTTTCACCTGTTCAGGCTCTCACCTGGTTCAGTCTTTCACTTGGTTCAAGTTCTCACCTGTCCAGGCTCTCACATATTTAGTTTCTCAGCCTCCACGTTCTCGTTCGAACAATGAGTCTAATTCATGAAATATACGCACGCTATGAATTGTGTTCATTATTATTATAATCAGCAATGCTCAATCCACTGGTGGATGAAGGCTTCCAAAAGCTGCTACCAACACTCACGCTCCCATAATTCCTTATATATAAAAAAAAACACTTATTGTGTGTTTTGATATTGAGGCTCTACATTTTAGTCAAGGCAAGCACACGCCGCTCCGGATGCATTCTAATGAATTACCACTGTAACATTCTAATTAGTGTTATTGTTATTGACGGATAGCTTGTCAGCACCCCTTCCCCATTGACAAGCTGGCTAAGCTGCTGGCTGGCTGGTTCGCTGACATGTGCAGTGAGCATGTGCGCTCAGTTGGCCCTCTGGATCGCTGCCAGCGACTCCCACAGGCAGCTGACCTCTGGGTGAAAAGTTCTAGCCTCTTCCATTACGAGCAAAAAAAATCCCTATACGATTTCAACAACATCCACGGGGCCTTATTGGAATTTCAAGTGTCTCCTGGAGCCTGGTAGGGCCCATCCACGGTAGTTACAGAGAGAGTTTGTTTTGAGTCGAATGTGCCTGTAAACATATAACTGGTTTAGTGAGATAAAAAACATGCTTTCTGTGCAATGATGGGAAAAGACAATACTTCACATTTTAGCCTCATTATTAAATAATCGTTTGTTTTACGTGAACTACTGTTTTTTTTTAACACCGTATTCTCTCGAGTATAAAATGCTCCTGAAAATAAGAAATTTTAAATACGGAGGGGGGGGGGGGAGGGCTCTTATAATCCAGAGAATACTATTTCAGTGATACTACAACATTTCCCATTAGTATTCTCTGACAGACGACCCTACTAGCTTAGTTTACTATGAGTAGAGTTTAGGAAAATGCATGGCATTGTGCCATTGCTGGTGCAGGGTTCACTCGCACACTTCACCAAAAAAAAAACCCACGTGACTCTCTTTGTGTTTGACTTGATGTGTCTCGCCAAACTCACGCTCGGTCTTAACCCGACGTGTGAGCGACGTTCCCCTCGCACGCCTCTCGCGCTCTGCAACATCCTCACGTTGTGTCCAGGTGTTCGGGGCTGAATGTTGTGCTTTGTCTCCTGCAGTAAACATCCTCGACTCGAAGACCGCGCAGGAGGAACTTGGCTGGATTGCCTCGCCGCCTGAAGGGGTAAGGGAAAAAAAAGGACCACCTACGGATATTGTTACTGTATGAGTGCAGGCTTTTTTTTTTTGGCTCAAATGTTATTTCTTCTGATTCTAGATTTGAAGCTTTCGTGACTGCAAGGATTCATACTCTTAGTTCTTTCGGTAAAGTCACATAGGTAAAAAATTAAATAAATAAAAATTAAAATTTATTTCTTCTGCCTGTGTGAGCGTGTGTGTTTTGTGCAGCGGTTAGCGCGCTGCGCTATGAACCCGGCGACACGAGTTCGATTCCCACTCACGGCCAACACAAGTGACGATTATCTGAACTGGTCCCGGGCCTCCCCTAGGTCTACTCAGCCTAAAATAAGTACCTGGTGCAGTGTGTAAGCATTGCCATTAGGGAGACAAAGGCGGTCGGGCGTGGTGCTGGCCAACCACCCCCTCGTGTACCGTTCCGGCCTTCATAGGTGCTCGCTAACAGCACTTGCCCCAACAGTCTGTTAAAGGCTATACGGGGGTTCTTTGTTTTTTTGTTCTTTATTTTTGTCTGTGGGGAGCGGCAGTGCAGCGGTTAGCGCTGCGCTGCGCTACGAACCCAGCGAGCGACGAGCTGAGTTTGATTCCTGCTCACGGCCACCAACACCAGCGGCGGATTATCTGAACCGGTCCTGAGCCTCCCCTAGGTCGACTCAGCCTCGAATGAGTAACTGGTGTGGTGTAATCATAGCCACTAGGGAGACAAAGGCGGCCGGGCGTTGTGCTGGCCACCGAACTCCTCGTGCGCCGTACTTGCCTTCGTAGCTGCTGGCTAACAGGACAGTCTGTTCAGGTCATACGGGGGGGGGGGGGGGGATCTTTGTCATTGTTTCTGTGAGTGCGTCGTTGTCGTATTGAGTGGTGGCTGTAGTGGTTATTGCGCCGCGCTACAAACACAGCGTCTTGATTTTGATTAATAGCCAAGGCGTGTATAAGTCGAGATCAATTGAACTCGTCCTGGGCATTAACCTCGGTCAACTCAAGCTTAGATAAGTACCTGGTGCTGTGTGTAAATATCTGAAATGGGGAGCCGAAGGTGGCCAGGCAGTGGTCCTGACCACCCCAACTCCACGTGCGTCGTCCCGGCCTTATAGGTGCTCACCAACAGCACTTACTCCAACATCATGTTTAAGCTATATGGGGGTTCTTCACCTTATTAGATTTAGTATTGAGTGGTGGTGTAGTGCTTATCACAACTTGGGATTGATTTCCGGCCATGTACACCGGTTTTGGAACGTTTACTGACCCTCCACGAGGTCAACTTAGTCCTAAAAGAGTACTTGCAATCGTGTAAAAACATCCCCTCATACAACATGCCAGCAATCACCAGGAGATCATCAGATTTTCAGCCAAACATTAAAATAATGTTTAATTTGTTGCGACTATTGAGTGTCGGAATAATTGTGATCGTTGCCTAAAAAGCTAAGCAGCATTGAGCCTGGTCGGTCGTTGGATGAGTGACCACCAGGTGCCACCACCAGGTGTTTTGTTGGCACGGGGATGCCAGGGGTGGTCAGGAGATGGCGGTGCTGAGTGGCATCACCTCGTAACTGTGGGTTTTCTCCGGCCACTCCGGTTTTCGGCCACAAACAACATTCAGTTGGGCAGGTCTGTGGTGCCAAACCATATCCGGGGAAGATGCTGTGAGCCTTTTTTTCCCGGAAAAAATTTACAATATTGCTATTATCGTTTTTTGTTTTTTACAGAAGACATAATACAGGGTGAGTTTGTATGTGCACTGTTAATTTCCCATCCCTAGAACGAAGCGTGATCAATCGCCCTTGATATGTGAATATATAGTACGCGTTTTCGCATGCAAAAACTAAACCAAATAGCGCTTCCATTTGCAATTTATGTGAATACAGGAACTCCTCTACTTACGAACATTCGAGTTACGAACTTTCAGACATACGAACAAACCTGTCCGTATGTCCAGTCGCCTGTTCAGAACGAGAGTCAGAAGTTCAACCGCTGCACAATACATGTCGGTGGTGGCATCTACTTCTCTAGAACATGAAGAAACGGTGGCATCTACGTCTACAGGAGATTACACAAATTTAAAGCCATTTCCCCGTGTTTCGTGTACATGCCCGTACACCATGTTTCGAATCGACAGGAGTAAAGTTGGACTTACGAACAAATCGACTTCGTTCGTAAGTAAGGGAGTCCCTGTAACATGCATTTCACATTGAGCAGCCAATCAGCATGGCAATTTGAATGGCGCGAAATCACGGTTTAAATTTGATGACATAGCAAAGCGCTTTTAGAGTTAAAAGTTGCACACGTGTAGCACAGCCAGACAGCAGGGTGAATTGACATTTTTCAAACTGATTGAGTTTTAAACCCACAACATTGTAAGAGCCTTTGCGATGTTTTAATTAGAGCCGAGTTTGGCAATGAAAGGCGTGCCTAAAAATGTGCAATTACACCACAGTAACGTTAGTCTTGGCCGTAACATAATGCATTTTTTGTGGCTAAAACGGGCCGCTGTCCTTTAAAATGTGGGCACATCTCCATGTGCTTTTAATTTACATCAATTGACTGTTCAATTATCATTTGTATTATTTCCACTTGGACAAATACATGTAGGGCTAGGTTGAAACGCATAGAAATGAAACACAACGTAGCGCAGTCCGTCTGCCTATCAACTTAGCGTCTCATTGATCTTCCAAGACACGAAACAATCTCCATTTTGTGTTTCCTGAATGTGATCTATTGTGCAGTTGTAGCCTGGGCATGTACATTATTTTTGTATGGCAGGCCGGCAATCTGATCGAATGGAAGTAACTGTCTCTCCTATGTCCTTGGGCAGCAGTGGAACTCATAGGGTTCCAAAATGTCGAGGTCAGTCAACCCTCGATTCTACATTGGTACTCGAGTCACCAAAAATGGTCTCTAATCTACGGTCTCGTTTGTACGTGCTCACGTTCAGCTTATTTCGAACCCTCCGTAAGCTAATCGTGCTAATCGGAGGTGTGACGAAGGACAACATTCAATCTGTGCCACGATGACCATGAAATAATACATCGATTGATGGATCTATATATTTTGTCGTGTGGCGACTTAAATTGCATGATGCTGAGGTATCCAATTGTGAATCTTATATAAAAGTACTGTACATAGAGGCCAAAGGATTGAATTAAAAGTCAGAGTGCCATAATGCTCGATTGAGCATTTGGAGGTGCTCATCTCATTTACCTTTCGTAGCCATTGGTGGAAATTGCACATTCCTATGGCAGGGGTCAAGATGTCATAGAGCAACCGCCTGTCGATTCCTTACAAAGTGGTGCTCGCAATGTGAATCCTGGGGTGACAAGGAGCTGAATCGACCCGATAATCTGACCCGCTGCCGACTGGACACTTGTGAAAAAAAATATATTCATAGCTCATCAGTTTTCCCCTAGCTATAAATAACGATTCTGATTCTGATCATGAGACTTTAAACTCCCGATCTTCAAATTTCACTAACAAAAATATCGCCACTCTCCACCCCCCCCCGCTCCACCCACCAACCTCCTCTGTCGCCCCGCCCCTACAAACACAGTGGGAAGAAATAAGCGGGTACGATGAGTTCTACACGCCCATTCGGACGTACCAAGTCTGCCACGTGATGAAGCCCAACCAGAACAACTGGCTGCGGACTAACTGGATCACGCGCGGCGGCGCCCAGCGCGTCTTCCTCGAGCTCAAGTTCACGCTGCGCGACTGCAACAGCATCCCGGGCATACCGGGCACGTGCAAGGAGACCTTCAACGTCTACTACCACGAGTCGGACAGCGAGCGCGTGTCCGGCATCCACGAGAGCCAGTACGTGAAGGTGGACACCATCGCGGCCGACGAGAGCTTCACCGAGATCGACCTGGGCGGCCGCATCATGAAGCTGAACACGGAGGTGCGCGACGTGGGCCCCCTCGCCAAGAAGGGCTTCCACCTGGCCTTCCAGGACGTGGGCGCGTGCATCGCGCTCGTCTCCGTGCGCGTCTACTACAAGCGCTGCCCGCGCACCGTGCGCGGCCTGGCCGTCTTCCCCGACACGGTGACGGGCGCCGACTCGTCCTCGCTCGTCGAGGTGCGCGGGGCGTGCGTCGACAACTCGGTCGAGAAGGAGGCGCCGCGCATGTTCTGCAGCGTCGACGGCGAGTGGCTCGTGCCCATCGGGAGGTGCGTCTGCGGCCCCGGCTACGAGCAGGCGGAGGAGGGGTGCCAAGGTGAGAGAGGGCACGGGTGGGGGCTGGGGGGGGGTTGGGAACGCGACGCACGGTCCGGTCTGATGGTAAGTCCGCGGATTTGTCTCGTTGCCGGGTGTACGCATGTAATTGCGCATGTGTGTGCGTGTCGTTACCCGAAAGCCAGTTTCACAAAACGAGGTGGGATAAGTAGTAGTTGCGTTGCACGGTGCACGTTTGTGTCTGTTGGACTTCTTTCGCGCCGCACGTTGACAATCGTGCCTATCGGTTCGAAAGGAATGAGCGTTCAACCCACGCTGAAAGTCCATGGCTCCAGTGGATTCCTGACATCGGTAGGAAGAGCGATAGAGACGGTCATAGAACTGCACCTGAAAGCGCGTGATGCGATCACCGTCTTTGTTCGATGGCTCGGTGCTTGGCCATGGCCAGGGGTCGCCAGCCTGCGGATACGCAGCCACGTGCAGCTCTTCAAGGACTTGTTTCATGACGTTATCTATTAAGGACCACCTATTCACATGCATTGCTGCTCTTGAAATATTTAGGTTTTTTTTACTGAAAAAAGGGTTATTTTTGTTATGTTGGTTGCCGCTCCATGGCAATGGTGCGAAGGAGCTGTTCTGCTCCAACAGCGTCACGCGGTCGCAAACGTTGACAAGACAATTTGTCAGTTAAGCTTAAAAATAATGATATTGTAGGTGAAGCAATAATGATGGACAGCTCACTGGCAATCCACTGCAAGACGAAGGCTCACGCCACGCCGCGTTTGGTCGCAGGGGTTTGTTTGACCGTACTCCACCAGGTTGGCTCAGTGCGGGTTGGTAATGGGGCACCGAGGGTAGATTCAGATATCGCTAGCCGTGAATCAAAGTCGAGGTGGACGTGTTGATAGCGCAGTGCGTTCACCACGAGACCAGTGTTTTTCATTGCAAGGCCCGCAGGCCAATGGCGGCATTTAGTGCCGCCCCTGACGTGCCCCCCCCCCCCCCCCCCACAATACACAACACGTGACAACACCCCTCCTCGCAGGCGGTGTGGCAGCCCTCGCACTGCACCCTGGGGGAGTTGAAGTTGGGCAGAGTATGTGTCAGTTGCCTTTCCACTCTGTGAAAACTTTTTTTTTATGATATATGTAATGACGAGACAATCATGTTCAAGAGCAATGTGTACATTGTCAAAGCATGTTTGCTTGCATGTTTTAACCGCGAGCACGCGTGGTCAATGCAGACTTGATGCCTAACAATAGATGTACTCTTTGGTTATTTCGGTAAAGTCACGTAGAAATAAATAAATACAATTATAATAGAATACGACGTTTCGATTGCAACACAAGCAACCATCATCAGGTACAAATGTATGAGAAAACAAACATAGGAAACTTGGAAAAGTAATGCAATACAACACAGAGAGTCGGCCAACAAAACAGTGAACACCGCACTTGGCTGATTACGTTCTTCCAAATATTGCTACATTTTTCGAATCTAGTTTGAACCTCCGGTATTATTGCCAGGAAGTCTGCAGCATAGTATTTTTATTATCATCTTGATACTGGCAACAAAAGACTCCCACACTTACTCCTTTTTAATCATTTGACCTTGTGCTACTTGTTACACAGGATCCATTCGGCTCAATGACATTGCATGCGAGTGCATAAAAACATACTTTTTTTTATCCCACAATCGTGTTCCAAATGTGTTTTTAGAATAATTTTATCAGGCGAAGACACGCCATGCACAGCTCATCTTAGGCCAACATCATTGGCTGACGCGCGCCCGTGAGCTGTGTGTATCCAAAGCAAATGCCCTCCTAACCATTTGTAGGAGAAGTGAACTTTTCTCGCATCGTGTGCGCCGCGACGCGCGATATCAACTTTAACCATCACACGTGCTCGGCCAAAATAAATTGACTTTCTCATTTTATTTCCGGTCCGTTGGCATCGTTGCTCGAGCAGACAACCAACTTCATTGTGCGTCTCTCCATTTAACCTTTAAAAAGCAATGCCTTGCCAATCTCTAAAGCTTTGCCCTACTGAGTGATCACAGGGCTTATTTTAGTTGTTTCCCCTCCTGAAGCATAGCAGTTCAATAACAAAACAACATTTATTTATACTGTTAGTACTTTCGGTAAAAGTCACGTAGGTAAAAAATGAAATAAAAATTTATAAAAATAAAACAATAAAAAAAATCACGACGTTTCGGAGGCAATTCAATCCCTCCCTCACTTGATGCAGCAAATCTGGCTGTGACGGTCCCACCTGATGACGGAGACTTGTGTTGCCTCCGAAACGTCGTGATTTTTATTGTTTTATTTTTATTAATTTTAATTTCATTTTTTACCTACGTGACTTTACCGAAAGAACTAAGAGTATGAATCCTTGCAGTCACAAAAGCTTCAAATCTGGAATTAACATTTATTTAGTTCGACACAAGTGTTTGCCATCGCAACATTGTCAACTAAAACAAAGATTCTTAATTCCACCGCTGTATGGGACGGGAGTGTGCCCACACTTTACCCCACCACACAGAACCTGCCAGTCGGCTGTGGTGGTGTTCCCACTTATACTGCTGGGTGGACAGAGGTGGAGGAGGCGAGTTAACAGCCCTGCCGGATGATATAATTTAAGCCATAAGCTCTAGAGTGTAAGTTGCGTTGTGCTCACCATTGTGCTCACCATCGACAGAATAAAATTAATACAAACCACATAATTTACAAAGTTAATTAATAAAAAATATTCAATTGTATTACTATAGCAGGTAAATGGAATATACACACCATAATTCTATGAAAATGCATGGAGATAATTTTCAAAATTAGAGTTTCGATAATTCATCATCCCAAACATCCAAATTTAAATTCACATTTCTTTAATACTCTTTATATATAAACGCACTGCTCAAAATGTACTCTCCTCCTAATGTTTCGCCAAATTAACAAGACACTAAACTTTTCAATTAGTTTACAAACTTCAACAGCTGTATGCTCCTCGCAGGGACACTTGAACAACGACCGCCATCGCTTACAGGACGCGCTCCCACAGCAGGAAACTGCAGTCGCTGCCTGGGGTTTGTTTTTAAAGTTTGTGTCACGAAGACTGAATTGCCGCTGTGTTCGGGAGCTAAAGCCGGCGGTGTGCCCTGATGCAGAACGGCACTTGCTCGCTTTCCTGTTCGGCCAATTAATTTATCAGAGATTCCTTTTTGGAAGCTAACAAAAAAAAACACTTAAATAGGCCGCTAACAATCCGAGCAGGAAAGGCCGAGAGATTCCAAAAAGGAATCTCTCGGCCTTTCCTGCTCGGATTGTTAGCGGCCTATTTAAGTGTTTTTTTTTGTTAGCTTCCATGTCTTTGTTGTCCTACTGGACATCTGTAAAAAAGAGCTCCATCGCTCATAGGATTCCTCCAGTTTGAATAACGATTATGATAATGTATATGCTCGCATTGAAAAAAACAACTCAATTTGGATTGTCAACCTTTATTTTGATGAACCAGATGAGAACTCACGAGACCAGGGTAGTCTCAATTTGCACGAGCGTAACGGGGCATTACTCTGCCAGTACGGGGCGATGATTGCTATGCATTATCCCAATTGAAGAATTTGTGAAATAAGTCTTCGAATTTGGTTCATTTGTATCGTGACGCCAGCACACAATGACCTACTCTTGTGAACGACGTCAGGGAATCTTTAATGTTCAATGTGAAGCAGACGGTGTGTATGATGGTTATTACGCACGCAGTATTTAAACAAAAACTAAACGTTTGGCTTTTATTTTACCAGCAAGCCCCTCTGAGCTATGTAGCTATTTTGTTCAGAAGCGACCTGGCCACAAATGATAGCTCAACGAAGTAGCTTATCATGTGGATATTTATAGCAGCCACATACTCTAAAAGCACGTTTCTAAATGTGGAGGTAAAAACCGAAAATCCGGAGAAAAATCCACACGACCACGGAGAGAACATGCAAACTCAAAATATACAGCTATCAGGAATCGGGATCGAACCTACGACCTTCTGTATACCAGGTGAGGTATTTAACATCACACCACCATGGCGCCTCAGTGTTAACCAAGGCAGCGGCTGGATTCGAACCGTCAACCTCTGCAACAAGCGGTGAATGCGCTACCGCTAAGCCAAGTCACGGCACCTAGCGGGAGCAGCCCCACAACTGCTCGCTCACTGCACTGCTGGCCGAAGTGCCACCACTCGAGGTACCTCTAGTGGGCCCCATTTTGAGGATATCTGGTCTACTCTTCCACGCTCGACTAGACGTCTTCACAAGCAACCTGCCGTTAAACTAACTGGCACGTATCCATTTATACTGCTGGCTGGCCAGAGGCGGGAAGTTAATAAAAAATATATATTTTTTACATTTCTTTGGATTCGAACCGAATCCTACAAATTCCAGTATATGAACCATTACACCGCAGCTGCAGCAGCATCCACGTGCGCAGATCGCACCTCCGATTAGCACGGTTGGCTACGTACAGCACAAAAGAAGTTCAACATACATACACAGGTCCTAATTGTTGTATAAGAAGTCTGTGTTCCCGGCCCGTGGTATTTTTTGGTTCTCACAGCGTCAAGTCCTAGATATATCGCGCCATTCGGGGTGGCATTGACGGTGCCCGCGTTTCAATCGCGCCGAGATTGCCGACGATCCGTCATTCCTGTTGCCTCCGCCTGCCTTGGCCAGTGATTGGCCATCGATCTGTGTTCGTGTCTGAAGATGGACGGGGGTGGGAAAGATGCTCCTCTGGTGCACTAACTCAGACCCCTCCCCGCCCGCATTCCCGGAGCTCTCCACGTACCCCAGATCCACTTGTTAATACAGAGACCAACCTACAACCGCCGCCGCACCTTGATTAATGTCCCGCGTCTGAAGGCCCTATGGAGCAACGAGGCCGCCGCTTTTGTTTTTTGTCGCGAAGCTATTTATAGCGCTGGGGCGACCAAGGCCAATGTCGACCGTGAGCCCCGGCGATGACGGCGCGGGGCATTCGCGTTGACCTGCTGCCGGAAGTGTCGC